AAACCTCTACCTTTCATTCCTTTGCTCTGATCTTCTAGTCATTAGTGGTTACTCTCTGGGCCTGATGCATAAAGGCACTCTTCATTATATACACACTTTACCAGTGGTTCTCAACCTTCCTACTGCCACAGTGTATTTTCATTGTTAGAAAGGGGTCACAACCCACAGGTTGAGAACCTCAGCTTAGTTGCTACCCCAGCCTTGGGCCTTAACCCGCATATTCCGCATCTGCTGCCTGTAGATAGTGAGTCTTTCAAGGGTTCTATGGGCTAAGTGAGCTCTTCTCACAGCATGCCCATTCTGCAGCTTCACGCCCACCCTGCAGCACTGTGCCCTCCCCTCTGCTATCCTGCTGTGGATGAGCCCCTGCTCCCTTGGCTTTCTGTCTTTGGAAAGTTGTTGACTTAGTGTTTACTCAGGTCTCCTTTCCCTTTTGTTGTCCTTTTGGCTAGATTTAAATAGGGGTGTCCAACTTTTTTTTTCTTTTCTGCCTTACATTAGAAGAATAAGAGTTGTCTTGGGCCACACATTAAATGTAGAAACACTAGTGAAAGCTGACGTGTTAATAAAAAGGTCCGTGCATACTTTTTGTGACATCCAGCATCATAGATAACAAAAAATAATCTGCATATGCAGTTTGTGGTCTGCAGCTTGGATACCCCTGGTTCTGGTCACTAGAGCCTTTTTGTCCTTCACTCTCACTTGATAGCATTTGAGTAAGAGGGCAAAGCAGGAAGAAGGAGAAGGATCCTGACCCAGAAGTCTGATCTGTCTGGGCTGCCAAGTTTTGAGATCTGGGTGTTGAAGAGCCTCTTCAAGCCATGGCCTTGATGATTTGGCAGCAGAGCATTGGGGTTTGCCCTTGATCATGTACCTGCTTAAGGATTTTCAGTATATATCATTTCATCCTACTTTTTACACTTCCTTTTCCTCAAGCCCTACCACTGCAGATAGACTCAGTGTTATTTTGTTTGATCTGTTAATGGGTTGCATTCAACATATACTTTATAATTATACAAATGTTTCTTTACTTACATTAAAGATTCATGCTCTGTTTTGGAAATGTATCCATTAAGTAAAACAATCTTTCAGTGGAAAACATGTTTTGAGTCATAGCATGCTAGTTTATAAATGGAATCTATTATTTATTTATTTATTTTAAGAGGCAGAGTCACACTTTATTGCCCTCGGTAGAGTGTTGTGACATCAGAGCTCACAGCAACCTCCAGCTCTTGGGCTTAAGCGATTCTCTTGCCTCAACCTCCCGAGTAGCTGGGACTATAGGCACCTGCCACAACGCCTGGCTATTTTTTTGTTGCAGTTTAGCCGGGGCCGGGTTTGAACCTGCCACCCTTGGTATATGGGACTGGTGCCCTACACACTGAGCCACAGGTGCTGCCCCTATAAGTGGAATTTATTATTTGGACGTTTCCTATATTCTTCAAAAGTAAATTGAGTTAGTGTATGAAATTTCATATGAATTTTAAATTACAAGATCTTTATATAAGTCCTCTGTGGCTTTTTACTTTGAAATGTGTATAAGTTGATTTGGTGGTGTCTCATGGAATTTAGATACAAATTTAATATAGTTTTGAGGATAAGTTAAAAGTAATTAGGTCCATCATGATATCATGTGTAATTAAATCATACAGCATTCCAAAAAGTAATAAAGTTCCCTGGATACCTTGTGTCTGATAATCCACATCTCTTCTATTTCCTCATTAGAAAATGACGCCATATGGGTAGTGCCTGTGGCTCAAGGAGTAGGGTGCCAACCCCATATACTGGAGGTGGTGGGTTCAGACCCAGCCCCAGCAAAAAAAAAAAACGAAAATGATGTCCTTGTTATTCTTCTTTAAGTAGGTTGTTTAGGAATTATGTTCAGATCCTGGTGACCTAGAGCACCAAGAACTTCAAATCAGATTTAATTTTGCTTCACAAACTCTTGAGAGGTTATTGCTATGGTCTCCTTTATGAGTATGGTTGTATATTATCCTGGGTTGGCATTTGAAAAGCTCATTTATTCAAACCCCTTTAACAATGACTTTTATTTTCAAAGAGACATGGTCTCTCTCTGTTGCCCAGTGATGCAATCGTAGGTCACTGCAGACTCTTAACTCCTAGGCCTCAGACAATTTTCCTGCCTCAGCTTTTCAAGTAGCTGAGACTACAGGCATGTGCCAACACTTGGCTAATATATATATATGTATATATATATATATTTTTTTTTTTTTTTAATAATAGAGATGGGGGTCTCATTGTATTGCTCAGGCTAGTCTTGAACTTTTAGCATCGAGTGATCCTTCTGCCTTGCCCTGTGAAAGTGCTGGGATTATAGGTGTGGGCCACTGTTATTGGCCAATAATAATTTATTAAATAACTATATGTAAAAGATAAAGGGGTGGTAGGAAGAGAAATAAAACTTTTTTCTTGGAGAGTGTCTCACTCTGTCACCCTGGGTAGAGTGCCTTGGCATTAGCCTAGGTTCACAGCAACCTCAAGTGCCTGGGCTCACATGATCCTCCTTCCTGCCTTGGCCTCATGAGTAGCTGGGACTACAGGTGCCTGCCACAAGGCCCTGACTAATGTTTATTTTTAATAGAGATGAGGTCTTGCTCTTGCTCAGCCTGGTCTTAAACTCCTGAGCTCAGGCAGTCCTCCTGCCTCAGCCTCCCAGAGTGAGCCACTGCTACAAATAAAACATTTCTATTCTGTGCTGATGGAGCTTATTAAAGTCTAATGCAGTGGTTTTGAGGCTATCTTTTTTAAAAAATAGATGAGATTCCCAATTTCAGTGTTCATTGTTTGACAGAAAATGCTTTAAATGATTTTTAAATATTACATCTGCAGAACTTTTTATGCCTAAAGCATACGTTATTACAGTTCATATGCATATATGCATATTGTTTTGTTTTGAGACAGAGTTTCACTATGTTGCCCTCAGTAGAATGCTGTGGCATCACAGCTCACAGCAACCTCAGACTCTTGGGCTTCAGATTCTCTTGCCTCAGCATACCAAGTAGCTGGGACTACAGGTGCCTGTAGTCCTGGCTATTTTTTGTTGCAGTTGTCATCGTTGTTTAGTTGGCCTAGGCCAGGTTCCAACCCTCCAGCCTTGGTGTATGTGGCTGGTGCTGTAACCACTGAGGTACAGGCACCAAGTCATATATGCACATTGTTAAACTTGCATTTTCTTAAATAACAATTATTACATTAGATGGGATGAAAATCAAAAACTTGTATTTCAGGTCATTACTGCAAAACTGGTTGCTCATTGTGGGACAGGGACTCTGGGTATCAGGGGTTAGTACAGTTCCCTGGTGCTCAATTTCTCCCTTTTCTATTTTCTTTTCCTGAGGTTAAGTCTTTATAATAGGGATCATGTTATTCAGGCATTTAACCCCATGTTAGGTGAGTGCACATGTGTCTTAGCTGGAAATCTCTTGTTATTCTTGGTTCCAGTTCTGTTTAATTCATTTCATTTGATTTTCCTGTGGTTGAAGCAGGAACTAACTTGCTCTCCTCACATGTAAGCATCACCTTTAAAGGACTGACAGTCCAGGCATCTCGGCTAGGAAGAAGCCTGAGAAGGAAACCTAGAGATAAAATTTTACCCTCACATGAGAGGCTGGAAATGAGCCAAGCTGTGACTTCTGGGGACACCAGAGTCTAGAGGAGTCAAGAAAGAAAGTGAACAAGAATAGGGGTGCATATTATTTGATTGACTCCAAGATGCCATTGTTTATAAGTTGTGCCTTTTTTTTTCCTCCTCACCTGCTTTCCTCCTTGGAGATTCTGCCCGACTCCACCCCTCAGTGCCCCACCTCACCCTGCCCACTGTGCCTCCTTAGACTTCCTGACCACCATAAGCTTGTTTTTAACTATTTCTTCCTTGAAAAGCACCACCCCACTGGCCCAGCATCACCCCACTCCTCCCTTGTTTTCACTCTGACCATCCTTTTTTCCTGGGCTAACTGCTCTCTTCTACCTCTAAAAGCTCTGGAAAATCAGCAGCAATAGGGAGCCTTCCATTTCACTTAAAACCCCTTTCCTACCTTGAGCTCTCCAAAAATAACTAGCAGGGCAGAGAACAGAGGAGAAATGCCTTTCTTCGGAGCAGGTAAAGGCTGGGCCAAGTGGGACTGGCACCATCTTATTAAATTCAACTGTCCCAGGTTTTGAAGGCCACGTCTGGCAATTTAGGGTCTGGATTAGGGATGGATTATGGCACATGATAGTAATTACTTTCTTGGCCTCCAGCCAGCACAAAAACCCTGGGTTCTGGGAAAACCAGTTTAACCTGGGAACAAGCCCCAATCCCAAATAAACAAAAAACAGGCTTCTCCTACCCAGCTTTATCACCCTTTCTCCTTATCACCTGGCCAGTTGCCTCACACTGTGGAGAGAACAGGGAGGTCCTCACTTCCCTCCCTGAATTCCAGCCCAGCCAGGGCACCATTTTTAAAATGTGCCATGAAAGAAATTCTGCTTATTTAACTATGCCATCAATAATAAGGTATATCCCAACCTAGAGATGTTACTATAGCAGGAAAAAAATGGAATTTAAGGCATTTGGAACTTAACAAAAATTCATAGAGAGTAGAACAGAGGCCATTCTGAGAGTTCTGCTTCTGTTTGGGTGAAGTGACAGTGAAATTGATTCTGTTCTGCGTCATTTCACCCCACCCCAGGTCTGGACAGAGAGAGAGGCTTATGTAATATTAAGAGGATATTTTTTAATTTATGTAATTACTTTGTTCTTGGCCCCTTTTTTGCTGGATAAGAAAATCAAATTTCTACCCCATCTGGATCTCAAAGTAGGCTTTGGAGGCCTTCTGACAAGTCATTTCTTATATCTAGGGGAATTTTCTTGTATTTAGCTAGATTTTGAGTATCTGCTATGTCAAAGGAAGTATGCCAAATGTGGGTTTGATTTTGGCAGTTTTTACTTTTATTAATTTACAAAAGAATTGTTTAGAAGACTGGAACATACAAAAAAAGATTAAAAATTATCATAAAAGTGTTATACATACGTTATTTTATTTTATTAGTACATGTCTTAAAACATTTTTCATGTATAAACTCAAAGACAGGAAACAAGTGAGATCATTTTCAAAACTAGCCTCAGAAGTTACCTTGAAAGGTATTGTATGAGACCAAGGTTACTAAATATTGGCAATCAAAGACAGGCAACAGGCAAAGCCTGCATATCCGGCTGTGAGACTCTATCTAAAGTTTTACTGCGGATCATTGATTCAAAGACATACACTTCACATTTTAACATATCTGAAATGGGAAAACATCCAGATATTGATATGGTATAGTTAATTGGCAATAAGTTTTCACTGTATTATAATCAGTGACATCTTAGATTCCATGAAATAGGTATAATTTTTAAAAATGGGAGGACTTAGTGTTACAGTTTGTAGGACCTTTTACTTATAGGTACTTAAATTTTGAGTACTTGATTATTCTGTAACAAAATGATTGACAAGAAGTAATTTGTAAGTTATTCCCTGTCTGAATAATCTGCATTTTAGATGTTGATTCAAGTTCATTTCAGCTGAATAAATTTTGATAAACTAAGTTTTGACAGCTGTTTAAATATTGGAAAAAGAGATATTCAACATTTTTCTTAAACTCTGAGAGCTTTGTTCAAGCTATTTGAGGCTTATTTGGGGGTTCTATTTGTGGTTCAGTAGTAATGAAATGTGTTTTTAAAATTATTAATGTCTTCATATTTATAGTAAATTGACCAGATAGGCCAAATTAGTATTTATTTGAATATCTTAGATTTGTTGCTTTATTTCACATATTATCTACTCCATCTACCAAGAGCTATTAATTTGAGCACTTGATGCCAAAGAAAATTATTAAAAAATCTGGATATTTTTCCCTGCTTTTTTCAAAGCAGTACTGCAGCTTGCATGATGGCTTCCCACTGTCAGGGATACCATTCAGAAAAGGGTTTGGTGTTACATATTTGTTAGAGTGAGTTCTCCATTTCTAATTAAGGCACACATCTGGAGGTGCTCAAGAAAAATTAGTGCAGTTAACCTTGAAAATGGCGTGTGTGACTTTTTCACTTTAGACTGTCTTTTATATAACCAGACACATGGCATTGAATTTGGTTTCTCTTGTCTTTCTCCCCCACAGAGCTTCTCCCATTTTCATGTTGCACTTCGTACAAGGCTTACCACAGAATGACTTGCAGCGGTATGCGTTTCATTTTGAAGGTTGCCTTTATCAAGTAACTTCTGTAATTCAGTATCAAGCAAATAATCATTTTATAACATGGATTTTAGATGCTGATGGTAAGTGTTTAAAGGTTTCCTTCTATGATAATAGGCATGGAAACTGAGCTCTTTGTTTTGTTTTAAATGACAAACTTTGCCTTGGCTCTTTCTAGTTTTGCCTTTGCCTTTAATTTTTCTCCCCTCTGCTATTAAAACTTTGGTGGCTTTTGTATCCTTCCTAACTTTTTCTTTCTCTGATGTCATGTATAACGGGTATATGTATACATGTGCATACTTATTTTTTTGACAAAATTTGAGATTATTATACTATTATTTACAGTATGCTTTTTTCCACTTACCATTTTTGCTTTTATTTTTTAACATCTGTTTCTACAACTATTAAACATGAGGTAGCCCTTCTGTCATCATAAAATAGAATATCTGAAATCCATAGTTTGCTAATAGCTACAATTAAGGTAAAGCGTTATTTAAATAATTAAGCTTTCAGTAGAAGGCTAAATAAGTACAGTTTGAATTTTGGGAATTTTTCCCTTCCATTTCTCTGATATGGTTAATATTGAGTTTGCTTTCTTCACGATGTACATTTTGTCTTATACAAGGTAACTCAATCCCCTTAAGGTGTTATATCAGGTCTTTGGTAATGGCTCACTTGATACAACCATTTTCTACTGTGTGGGCACCTTTCATAGTTGATATTTTCCTCCTGGGGATGGCTTGGATGGATGACACAAACTATAAAATAGAGCTTTGTAAACTGAAACTTGCATTATAAATGTGATTATTACCTTCAAATTTTCCCTTGTTTCAGAATTTGAAAGTAGTTCACAGTAACATAAACTAACTTATTAAACTTTCCAAGGAATGAAAGATTCACTTCACATGCAGCATGATTTCCAGCCCTGACAGCATATAAAAATCAATTTGGTTAGCTAAAAAAAATCTTGGGGATTGACCCAAATATCAATATTATTTTCAAAGTTCCTTATATGATTATTATGTGATTCTGATGTGCTCATGTGGTAGTCAATCAAAAAATTCTCAAAGTTGTAATGAGTATACAGTGAAAGTAGATTGAGGTAGTTGAAAAGGCTGTACCTACCTAAAGCGCATACGTAGTGAGTAGTTTTATTTGTATGTATGTGGAGAGGATTAGCAGATTTCTGAATAGAGACTACCCTTAGTTCTTAAATTCTTCCCTTGATATCTATCATCTCATTCCCACTTGAAAAATGTAAAAATAGAAGCTCAGGGATAAAATAAGAGTTAAAACAAATGTTGGTCCTTGAGGTGACAAGCTTCATTTATCTTGAAAATTTATATATATGGAACAGCTTATTCTACTGTTGATGTTGGATCAATTAGGCAGTACTGTATTCTCAGTCCCAAAAGTTTCTGTGGGTATTATAGGAAAGCATGTAAATTACCCAGAAAAATGGCTCAGTTTTTCAAATTTCTGAACATTTTAGTCTATAACTTTTGTTATCCAAATAAAGTCTTTAACATTGGGCAGAGAAGTATGGTGACAGGACGAGGCCATGTTTTAATGTGTTCCTTTGGTGAGGATTCAGTGATACAGCAGTGAAAGAGGCCAGAAGGAAGTTAACCTAGCATGGTGGGTTTTGAATGTCTAACCTCCTTCACTTTCTTTCCCATCCCCAGGAAGTTGGTTGGAATGTGATGACTTAAAAGGCCTACATTCTGAAAGGCATGAGAACTTTGAAGTTCCTGCTTCAGAGATACATATTGTTATTTGGGAAAGAAAAACAGTTCAAGTGACAGATAAAGAAGCTGCTTGCCTTCTGCTTAAAAAGCCCAATGATCAACATGGTTTGAGTGATGAGAAACCAGTGTCTTCAGGTTCCAGTGGTGAGAAAGCAGTGTCTTCAGGTTCCAGTGGTGAGAAATCAGTGTCTTCAGATCCCAGTGGTGAGAAACCAGTGTCTTCAGCTCCCAGTGGTGAGAAACCAGTGTCTTCGGCTCCCAGTGGTGAGAAAGCAGTGTCTTCAGGTTCCAGTGGTGAGAAATCAGTGTCTTCGGCTCCCAGTGGTGAGAAACCAGTGTCTTCGGCTCCCAGTGGTAAGAAACCAGTGTCTTCGGCTCCCAGTGGTGAGAAACCAGTGTCTTCGGCTCCCAGTGGTGAGAAACCAGTGTCTTC